GGAAAAAAAGTAACAGAAAATCATAAAGAGTCATAACTGCTGGATAGTCGGGGCATGATGGTATGAAGGGACAGGGGCAACCGGGGTCATACAACTCCAGTCTGTTATGCTCGGATAACAGTGTCTGCAAAAGGAAGATCTCCATGGCTCGCCACCAAGATTCGAATGTCCTGGAGAAGCCCGTCTCTGAACTTACGAGCTTTCCTTTCTTCTGTGTCCACCATGTGCCGGGCAAAAGCTCCCAACCGGGTAAAGGCCCAAGCATACTCATCAACGGTAGTGGCACCCTGTCGGAGATCTCAGAACTTCCGTTCCTTCTGGTCACGATAGCTCTTGGGAATGTACTTTTCAGAAATGATCTCCTTCATCCTCACCCAAGTGAGGGCAGTCCGCTCAGCCTCCGGCCTCAAAACCCAATAATCAGTCAACCAGTCGGATGCATCACCCTCCATCTGAAACTCAGCACACTCGATGAGCTGGGCGTCTGAGCATCAGAGAATAGTGAAGTTCCGTTCCAGCTTACGGAGCCACTCCGTCAAAGTTGTTGCTCCCTCCACTCCAGTAAAAGTCAAAGATGCATGTGCTGGAATCGCTCAATTGTTCGGCCATCAACTTCACCTTAAGCGGGTGGAGCCTGCTGAGCCTGTGGATCTCTACAAGGTCCCTTTTCTATAAGGTAAGTCAAAACTTTAGCACGAGACTCATCCACTAAAGATCAAATAAATTAAAGAAAGCAGGATAAATTCATAAGCCCCAAATAAACATAAATAATTTAAACAACACTCATACTTTGAGCTGGCGCGGCTGAACAAAACGATGGGTCATAAACATAAATACTTAAACAAATTCAGAAGAAGACTACAGAAACGTAAACCTGTCTCTGATACCACAATGTAACACCCCGTTATTTTCATAGAAAGAAACCGAATTATTTTTCAAAAATTAGAGTAAATTTTCAAAAAATCAATTTAAATATTTATTTAAAAGGCGCTACTCAAACATCACACATCAACAGTTAAGTCAACAATAAACCTACGGGAAAAAACATTCATCCCGATATTAATCCCATGCCAACATCTAACATGCTTTAACATGCTTTAACAAATAAGAATATCCAATCTTCCCATTTCATAATAATCCAAGTTCAAAATTCAAAGCATGCATAATAATTCTGAAACTAAAAACATGATTCAATCTCCAGAAAATGATAATCAATATGGTTCAGTTTCCAACATCAATAATAAAACATGTCTGACAGCGAGATAGATAATAAATAAGTAAGCGGAAGCATATAACAGTTCAACAAAATCAAATAATATGACCTTCCCTCGCTCGCCTTATGCCACGGTCACCAGCTCAACCTGAAAAGAGAGATAATAGTGGGAGTGAGCAAACAATTAGCCCACCGTAGCAATACCATGCAGTATAATCAACATAATGACTTAAAATCATAATTTCAGTATGCAAGTAGATCGACTAGTCTACCTCCTACACAACCCTACGCTCATGTGATCACATCTAACTGTCGGAACACCATCAACGGGAGCTAAGCTGTCGGAACTTCATCAACGGGAGAATACTCTCTAAAGGCTAAAGTTAGGAGATGTCCGAAATCCATCAACAGAGATAACTCTCTCATAGACTACCGGTTCACATGCATACATAGACGATCAAGTCAAGCAATTATATCAATTAACATACACGGTAAGGTTTATCAACACCCACCTGGTAGATCGAGATAGGCGAAAACTCGGTAGTAGGCAAAGGCTCGACTCCTCAAACACCTACATTTAAACGAGATAATATATATTAATAATCTATCTCATTACTAGGGAATAATCGAAAACCCACACTTAATCAAAATTAAGAATTTAGGGGTTCTTATCGATCTTTTTTGTAGACTTGAACTCTCAAAAAATTTATAAATATAGGACTTGGCTACGAAAAAGGTTCACGAGACTTAAAATAATTTTTCCCAGATAAATCTTATTTAAAGATAAATTTTTAAAATTGACATCGGTACGAAAAATGACTTTCGGAACTCAAAATTGGCCAAAAAGTCAAACTGGGTCGTCTATCCAAACATTGGCCACAGGCTACCAGTATTTGGGCCTCGCGCGCGCCAATGGGCCGCGGCTGATGTAAGGACAGGCCCAAAATGCGGCCGCTACCAGGCTGAAGGAGGGTGGGCTTCTCAGGCCCGCGGGCCAGGACATGGGTCGTGCTAAGAGAGAAAAGACAGGCTAGACGCGAGTTGATTTCGGGCTAGATC